ACATGTCGGACACATATCTGGATGGTCTGCAAGGTGCACAAAGTCATCTGGGCTCGTAAGGTCCGAGGGGCAGGACTTCAGCTTCAGTGACTCAGGTGGAGCGCTGTGCTTCGTTCTTACATTGTTGTCCCAATTTTGGACAGGAGCTTTACGATGTAGAGAAGAGACAAGGGGGGGAAAATCCAAGTTGATATACAAACTGAGGTACATCTGGTGTAACCTACACACATTATAAGCACAACTAACTAAATAGGACCAGCCCAGAAGGAGTGGCGGATCAAGCACAATATTAATGAATGAAGAAATAGACAAATGGTTAATATTGGCAAACCTTGCCAACAAAAGGAAATAAAGAAACAAGGAGTGGCAAAGGGGGAACAATAGTCTGCAAGCAGACAAAAGAGAGAAAAGGCCATCTGGCCGTCTAGCAAGCCATCTGGCTGGTGGGCAGACAACAATGAACCACTCGAACGGGCAACCTTGGTTGGAAGGTATGCATGTGGGGAGAAAGTGTGGATGAGGGTGACAGGTGGATGGATGATGATGGTAGTGGGTGGGATGAGCCAAGTGGCACTAGGATGCGTTGACAGAAGTGGTGGATATGCTGGGTCGTGACAATTGGCCTGAAGGTAGACTTGCAGGGAAGGCAACTGAGTTGCTGGGCAGAAGCAGGGGTGCATTTGTAGATGTCAGAGCTGTCTGGAGACCTTTGGGGTTCTGTACTTAGGGAGGTGTAGGTAATATATTGAAATGAGGGGGTGGTGACCATTGGGGGAGTTGGAGGGGATTGTGGAAACCAGAGGCTCTGAGGTTAGTGATGAAGGAGTGGGGACAATCCAGAAGGACTGGAGGTGGTGGAGGGTGATGGCCATGGATGGATATGACAGCTCCCCTTGAGTCACTGAGGCCAAGGTCCCTCCTTGATAAGTCTCCGATTCCATTCCAGAATCATCCAAAACCGCTGTACTCTAACAGCATTGATGTGTTGCATGGCACTGTGTTCCCTTCTGAGTCACTGAGACCACATTCCTCAAGGATCTTGTATTCCCTGAAGACTCCAACACCTCTGGAGAAGCCTCAGACCACTGCTGGGCTTCCCAAAACCCCCAAGTTGAGCTTGTCTGCACCAGTCAACTGCACATAGTTTGACACACACATGTCTTATTTAATCTCATACCTCCATTAAATCCCAAGTTATGAACAATGTGTATATTCCAGAGGCAAAAAGTTAACTCAAGAATGAGTGACAAGTGATTATTCTTAAGGATTGAATGAGTTGAGTGGTTGGCAAATAAATAAAAGAGTGGATGCATCCTAAGTATAGTGGAAGGAAGAAATAAAGAGTGTGAATAGAATGGTATGAGGAATGAGGACTCCACAGGATGATAGGTGAGCAGCTATATGGAAAACTGCTGCCATAAATAGCAAACAAGCCTACAAATCACATAGTTCCACCCATGCTTGTCTCAAGGGATACCATTAGAGTCGCCAGCATCCAATTGTCAAACCTGGCTAGCCAATCACTTGGGGGATTATTGTGTAGGATATCAAGGGTAACCGAAGAGTGGAGGCTGAGGCACCCGAAACATGTCTGGAATCTGATTCCAGAATCCAATGCATTGTGAGATGAGGCCTCCACAGAATATCCTGAGGGAACATCAGTGAATGTCACCTGAAGAATGAAATCAGAAATTGGTATTATGAGAATATGGAAACAAATACCCTAATTTCTTGTCCAATCAGGAGTGAGTCTGATGCTGTGGCACAACGATAGAGGAGCTGAGATCGGAATCCAGCATGATTGAGGTGTGTTGAGAGATCATTGTAGCCAATATGAGATGACAAGGTCATGAGACCAAGGGGGTCATTATCATGGTTGTGAAGTGGCCACCCAGTTCGCTGAAGGAATCTGTCATATCCATGCATACCAGATCCCGACCCGACTCCCAGACCTCCTCCTTCACCACCTCCGGAGTCCTACCCTACCACCGTCCGTTCCGATATTCACCTTCGGTCCTGGCACCACACCTCCTCCCACCTCCCATTCCACCTCCACCCCTCCGTCCCTCTCCTCTCCTATGGCTGTCCGCTCCGATACCCACCTCGGACCGAACACCACCCCTCCCGCCACCCTCCTACTACTACTCCTCCTACTCCTCCGCTCCCTCCTCACAATACCTCCACCCTTCCGTTGTAAGGGGGCAAGGGATCTACCACCCTAACGAGAAAGAGAGGGGGCCACAGAGTTGGGAATGCTCAGGGGAGGTTCGGATGATGAGGAGGGGGGAGGAGAAATGGTCCGGGTGCGATGTGATAAAAATGATAAATCTCGTAAATCTCACTAGAAATCAAACTAATGAGAACTCTGTCCCTGCACGATGTCTTGAGCCTCTTTGGCTTCGTATTCGCCGCTCTGGGCGCTGGTAACGTCTGCTAGAACTTTATGTTCATTTTGGGAGCACCTCTCTGTTTTTGGGGGAGTCCTTTTTTTAAAATACAGGAAAGAGGGTAACTATAAATATGAAAGAAATACGCGTGGAAATCCGAATAATCCGACGGGTTTAGGACGGCAACAGATCCACAAGGAACACTTAAGAAAAAAGCAATATCAAAGAAATATTGATGTTGTTAAGGAAATAAAGAACCATGGCGATCGAAACAACCGCTGAACCAAATGCGTCACTCGTAACATCGTTCGACTCGTGTTAACAAGGGCTTTCCAACGATACCAAATTCGTCCGGATCGGTGGAGAATTGATGGAGATACAGAGGAAGCGGCGGAATATGCGGGTGACAGTTGCCCAATTTGGAAACTGATGGTTGTCCGTGGTCAGGAATGGCTTGAAAAAAATCGGAAAAAATATAGGAAACGTGGAAGGGGTATATGGAACAATGGTAGATGTGTTTCGTGAAGTGGGGTACTTGACATGGGTGGTAGAATCGCGATAATCAGCTTGTTTGCGTGGTACCGGCTGTGCCCACCTACACCATCATCCTCCTACTCCTCTCCTGTCTGCTCCGATACTCACCTTCAGACCTGACAACTCTCCTTCCCACCACTCCTTCCCTCTTCCCTTTCTCCTCTCCCTTTCCTCTGGTCCTCTTCCGCTGACCTCCCGCCAAGTTACGACCTTCTGATGCTGTCCTGTACTTCATACTTGGGCACCACTTGTACCTTTGCTCCGAGCCTCCATCATAGTCCCTACCTCGGACTTTGACTCCACCTCGGCCTTAGTCCATGTTAGAACGGGGCTGATACAGACAACTCCGGAGTGGAATCGGAGACTTAGCGTGAAGGGACCTTGGCCTCAGCGACTCAAGCGGAGCACTGTGCCATTGCTGTTTGTCCATTTGGTCCTTAATTTCACAGTAGGTGAGCAGGAAGTCTCTAGGGGGCATTTCAGGTCGATTTCGGACTGAACCAAAACGAGTATGTACAAGCACCGATATATATAATGGAAGGGGCAAAAGCACAAGGAAACAAAGGGGAACCGAATCGGAACGAAGACGTCCGAACGGGAACAAAGGGTAGAGGAAATGGAGCGGTACCAAAGGTCATAAGGCAGGACCTGTGATACGTCCGAAAGGAGGTAGGGAGGGCGAGGCCCAGAGGGGCAGGAGGATGAGGAGAAGTGGGAATGATGACTAACTGGCTAGAATGGTAAGAAGCAGTAGTCCAAATAGGGATGAGGGGTAAACATGAGAGATACGTTACAGGCGGCGAAAGTGCCGACGGCGATCTGCAAAGCTCGGAGGTTGCGGAGCTTACGGAGGTTACGGAGGCAGGGTTGAAAGTCCAAGGGATATTGGCAATGGTGTTTACGTAGTATGAGGTCACCAATGCAATGGACTAAGACCGAGGTGGAGTCAAAGTCCGAGGTCGGGACTATGACGGAGGCTCGGAGCGAAGGTACGAGCAGTGTCCGAGTAGGAAGTATGGGACAGCAGCGGAAGGTCGTAACTTGGCGGAAGGGTGGCGGAAGAGTACCAGAGGGAGGAGAGAGGGGAAAGGTAAGGGGGAAGGAGTGGCGGAGAGGAGGGTTGTCAGGTCCGAAGGTGAGTATCGGAGCGGACGGGGGAAGCGTAGGAGGATGACAGGAGGGTGGAGGTTGGGTGAAGGAGGAGCGGAACAGGAGGGTGGAGAAGTAGTAGGAGGGTGGCGAGAGGAACGATGTTTGGTCTGAGGTGAGTATCGGAGCGGACGGAGATAGGGTAGGAGAGGAAGGGAGGAGTAGAGGTGGCGTGGGGGGGTAGAAGGAGGTGTGTTGCCAGGAACGAAGGTGAGTATCGGAACGGCAGCAGTAGGTTATGACTCCGGAGGTGAAGAGGGTGGAGGTCCGGAAGTCAGGTCGGGGTCGGGTATGCACGGATATGACAGTCCATTGCATTGGTGACCTCATATGTAAACACCATCACCAATATTCCTCGGACTTTCAACCCCGCCTCTGTAACCTCCATAAGCTCCGCAACCTCCGAGCTTCACGGATCATCTTCGGCACTTTCGCCACTTGTAATGTATCTCTCATGTTTTCCCCTCATCCCTATTTGGACTGCTGCTTCTTCCCATTCTAGCCAGTTAGTCATCATCCCCACTTCCCCTCATCCTCCTGCCCCTCTGGGCCTTGCCCTCCTTACCTCCTTTCGGACGTACCACAGGTTCTGCCTTATGACCTTCAGTACCGCTCTGCTTCTGTCATCCCTTTGTCCCCATTCAGACGCCTTTGTTCCGATTTGGATCCCCTTTGTTTCCTTGTGCTTTCGCCCCCTCCATTATATATATCAGCGCTTGTACATACTCATTTTAGCCCTTAGTCTAAAATCGACCTGAAATGCCCCCTAGAGACTTCCTGCTCACCTACTGTGAAATTAAGGACCAAATGGACAAACAGCAATGGCACAGCGCTCCGCTTGAGTTGCTGAGGCCAAGGTCCCTCCTTGCTAAGTCTCCAGTTCCCCTCCGGAATCGTCTGCCCTCGCCCAGTTCTAACAGAATCCCTCAATTAGAGATTGGAAGTTGGCATCTTGGAATTCGGAATTTCGTCGGAGGAGGATGAGAGCTCGACGAGGCTCTAGAATCGTGAGAATGGGAAGCAGATCCTCATATGACTGGATTTGGGATGCATTCAAACTTCGGAGAAAGCCCTCCCATCCACCAGAATACATCTTGCAAAGCTGCAGTAAATCAGCATACCTCCATCAACAAGCACCCCAAGCTGACTTGCCTCACTGAACTGAAACCCATTTGAGCATATAAGATTCAGACCAGCCCTGAAAGCTGCTTCCTCATCATTATTCCCTACCAGACCTGGACCTTGTATGCAAGCAAGAAGTAACTTTTGAGAGAAAATAGCTTGTGCCTCTTCAGTGGCAATCATGGGTCGAGCTGTCACAGCCTTTAATGGTAAGGGTATTACTGCTTGGCCTGACTAGATAAAGACGAATGCACTTACATCAACCTCAAGGTATGGAATTGCGATGGACTGTATTGCAGTGAAGGAGCCACTAGCTTTAAATTGATCAAGTGCAAAAGAAAGGTCTTGGTGATGTTCAGTGAGGATACTGTCAGTGATAACTTCATGCTTCCCATAATTGAGATGAAGAAGCACAGAAAGTATACAAAGTTGGCAAGGAAGACGACAAAGATGCACAATCAACAATGCAGTGACAACTCCATGAACAAAGGCAAGCTCTTTATGCTCCTTGCTTGTGGGTATGCCTTCCAAATATACTTTGGGGAAAAAGATTAGTCAATTTCCATACAAAGTACGAAGCTTCTCATTTTCAGGAGACTTTGGGAACAACAGCTCACTAAGCTGGAAAATGACTTCACGAACCACCCCATAACCCTGAGTGTGTTCTGAGTTCTCACTATAACCCAAAAATCAGAGGTGGAACTACTTGAGGAACTTAAAGCTCACATTGTAAATGAGAGGACATTTCCGACAAATTTGTCAAGCGAAATGAGATTAGGATCATCATCATAACAGGCAATTATCTCAGCCTCAAGCATCAAGACAAGGTCCTCTTGAGTAGGGGCTGAGAGCGAGAAGCTGCCTGATCCAGCTGAATCAGGCATCAAGGATCGCATGTGTGCTGCAAAATTTGATATCGTTGAAAGACTTGGATAGGAAACTGGGTTTGAGGAAAAATTTTTAGAGTTATTTATGATGAAGAAGAATGAGACATACTGTTCCCTCCAGAATCAGAAGCCTAGGATACCAATAAGCAAAGAGCAATTACATATGAAATCACCCATACCTGGTTTACTGGCACTGAAGGGCCACTCTCCTCAAGGGCAAGTACATCACCTTGGGGAGGCTCATTGTCAACAGTGCTGACTGACTCAGCCCCATCCTATATAGTGTATAAGGGTTGAGTGATGGCTGTTTGGACTAGCTAAAACCTACCGAATCATTATCACCACCACTAACAGGAGTAGGCGAAAGGAGATGGCCTTGGGCAGCCCACTGGACATGACAAGTCTCACAGAGTGCTGGATCTCTCATCGCAATGAGGTTTCCCCCAAGCATATGGACAAGGTTGGTGTCAGAGTCTGGATTATTGTCAGAGACTGGAATGCTTGTCAGAGACTGGGAATATTTGTCGGAGTGAGGAATATTGTCAGAGTTGGACAAACTGTCAGAAGATGGATGAAGGATGGGTTGGGTTCTGTCTGAGTTGAGGTCGGAGGTGATGCAGAGGTCTGTTGGAGCGTGCGCGCAGATATGCGGGTGGAAATATGCGGCGCGTCCGGAAGTGCTGTTCAAGGTTAGCGGAGTGGGATCCCTGCCTCAGTGACTCAGGTGGAGCGCTGTGCCCTGAGCTTGACGTTTGGGGGAGATCCTGTATTTACGGATTGACACTCACAGCAGACTTCAAACAAGACTTGCGGGCAGAGCGGACCTGTAGGAGGAGCATGGACTCTGCAAGCACGGACTCAGAGGGGGGGGGAAGCCCCCTTTGCAGAAGGAGAGACTCAGACCAGACAGGGGGGTACTCTAGTTGATTTCAGACTAAGGTCCCCAAAAGTATTTACAGGATATAAATAGGCAGGAGGGAAACACAGAAGGACCGGTCAGTCCGGCACGGTCCAGCGCGGAAATAAGCGGGGATTGTCAAACTGAATGAAGGACAAGAGCCCGGGAAATGGGAGGCAATGAACTAAACAAAAGCAGATCAAGTGCCAATATTGACAGGTAATAAGAAGTGCATCAGCACATGGATCAAGTGCCAATATTGGCAAGTTAAGCAAATGAATGGATGAACAATATAGGCACTCGGCAAGGAATGAATGGTATGCTGCCGAGTGACAAGATGGCCAGAGAAAAGTGGAGGTCAGCGTGCGGCGCCGATACAAGTCCGCAAATAAGCGGGGTCAGTGCAGTGCCGACACAAGTCCGCGAAGGGACATGGAAATCAGCACGGTGCTGACAAGTCCGCAACAGAGGGTGGTCCATCAGTGCTGTCACAAACAAGGGCAGCATGATGGCCAGCAAGGTTGGAGGGGAGTGTTGGCCTGACCACAGGGTGTGGAGGGCAACCAGGAGTGGCAGAGGTCCAGAGGGTGTGGAGGTGGGCAGAGGTACAGATGCAGGTGGAGGTCTGGATGTGGGCAGAAGTCCGGATGTGGGTGGAGGTCTGAATGCAGTGCATGGTTGATAGGGCAGGGGGCCAGACATCGGATTGGGGGCTGGTTAGGATGGGTTTCGGGTCGGCGGATTCGCCTATCGGCATTGGTTCGCCACTGACAGAGCCCCGGGATTTGTCAGTCGTGACAGTTGGGTTGGTCAAGAGCAAGCCCACGATAGAGATGAAGGCCACTGCAAAAATGAATAGTGACTGAAGGAGAGACTGTATCATTGAGAGAAGTCAAAATTTCTGTTGGAAGTGGGCCTCCAAGGTGGTCAATGGTTGGCACTAATCATTTTCAGCAATAATAAACTGTAATAGAATGCAGGTACTCACCCAGTTGCAGCACATGGGTCTCATCAGGCTTTTGTGAAAAGTTCATCACCCTGAATCCTTCTACCTCATAAAATATATGTTCGAGGGTTTCATCTCGAGCAGGCCAATAATTGCTGAGACGACAAGAAGCAAGGTTGAATGTACTTATAACTTGTCCAGATGAGCAAAGCTGCAGCAGAGAGAATGAAGGGGCTGAAGAGTCATAAGCCCCATAGAATTGAAATCCTCTTTGAGAAAGCTCTGTCTGAACAAGTGGTAGCAGGTCGTGAACAAGCATGTTGAGGTGCAAGTTGGACAATGTGACTAAAATTTCCAAGTCGTTCACGAAGATTCAGGGCAAGAGCATTCTGCCATTCGCATTTGTGTGTATTCTCATTGGACTACCCCCTATGTGGAATTGGCTGGCCTCGAGGATACTCATTCAAACCTCAGCCTGTATTGATTACATAATCAAGTGAACCATTATGAATGAAGCAAGCACATACATCACTCGGGAGAAGCTGAACCTCTAGGGAATTGATACAATCCCCAGAAATACCCAGATGAGTGACTGAGGGTGATACATTCAGAGCTTCATATGGTTGAGTACGAGGTTGTCATGAGTTTGGTGCATTTTGTACAACCCCACTGGAACTTGTCCAATGAGCATTTACAGAGGTGGTGGGAAATCCTCCTGAGGGAATCCCTCGAAATGCGACAGGAACAGGTGCAGTAGAAGGGACTGATGAACCAGGCAAGACAGATGTAGTTCCACTAAGGTTGATGGTTGATTGAGCATGAGTAATTGGCCCTGAAAAAAGAGGCAGAGGAGGGGGGGCAGCAATCGATGGAAAATTTGATGCAAATGAAGGTGGAGACTGAATTGATGGCACTTGTGACATAGTTCGTTGATGATGCTGTATTGTTGGTACTTGCACAGACATGCTTGCTGGCGAATGGGGCCGAGGATAAATTTTGTGCCCTTGAGGGTTCTTGGGACCCAAAGTTCAGGGCTGAGATAGGTGGAAGCTCAATACCCAAGTGACGAATTCACTTGGCACTGCAATTGAACTCCTCCAAAATCCCCCTCACTGTATTGGGAGATAAATTATTATTGGTATTGGACATTGAATCAAGCGAAGCGAAGGCAAATTGTTTGTATAGTGGAGGTTGGGTGAGAACTGGTTGCTACAAGCAGAAGGCAACCTTCAACAATTATTCAAAGGCAAAGAAAAAAAGGTCTCGGTGTTTGCTGAAGGGGCCACAGACCAACAGTTCGCCAGTTCACATTGAAGGATCAAGCCCAAGGTTGAGATAGAATTATATTTAATTGTTATTATTTTACAAGGCAGAGATGTTGCTGATGCAGCCTGTGAAATATGTCTAGTATGCAAAGTGTGTGAAGTATGCAAAGTATGTGAAGTATGCGAACTGTGGGAACTAGGGAAATTCCCGACAACAAAAATATAGAACACATGACCTTTAATGTAATACAAAATATGCAGCATGTGTGAAGTATGAAAAGTATGTGAAATATGCAAAGTGTGCAAAATTGCTGATGACAAAACATGCAACACATCACCTTGCAGTTGCAGGGATTTCTTTCAGTAACTCATTTCATACTTATGCCTCACTCATTCGTTGAGCTTAGCCTGCATCATGGCAGGCTTGTCATCCATCTGTCAGGGCACACCTGCCTGACCCAGCTCCACCCACCCTCACCCAGTATCCTGCTCACCTCTACTCCTCACCCTTCATCACGGTTCCTCATCTCTTGTTCTTCTTTCTGTCCTTTTGTCCTTTTGTTCTTTGTTCTATCTTTATCTACATGGATGACCTTTCCCCATATCTATGTATTATTGACCCACCCATGATGTGTGCACAACACACTGTAAGGCCGGTTGGGGTGCCGGCCTTGGTGACTCAAGACTCAGGCTGTCAATAACATAGACTAGTATTTGACAGGGGGGGAGGAGAAGAGCTAAGCCCCTTTCCCCGACCCCGGATGCTATATATGTACATACAGGTGTTTTACATTGTTTAGTTTGAAGTTTATTATAGAATAATGAATAGAGGAAATGCGTGCAAAGTGTGCATCATCCATTCCTTACACACACCCAGCCCCAGATGACCTGGATGGCCTCATGGTGCAACCCAGCATGTGCGTGTGCAGCACATGCCCTCGGGATCCCCCATGGGGACACCTGGATGACTGCGGCTGTATGCAGGGTGATGTTGTAATGGGGATTTTCTGGTGTACCATAAATCCCGCAATTCTACTACCCTTAGCCAATGTTCTCTCCTGCATATTTCTTATTTTTCCTGATTTTTCTGATTCCATTTCTAGTCACTAGAGCCCAATGTTTCTCTTTCTTATTGTTCTTTCCTTATTTGTCATTTCCGGATTCTTCCGTGATACCGTGACCAGCTGTGTAGTTAGCTAGACAGTGAGGAGTAGTGGAATCCACTCCCAGTCAAACAAACCTGTGCAAGCGACCACTCCAACCCTCCCCCACTCTTCTGTCTCGAGTCTAGTGGTGATAGACCCGTTACAACGTGGCAAACCTCATGTGACCCAAGCTGCATGTACATAAAGGTACCTGGGGTGGGAACCGAAGAAGTAACCTTCTTCTCACAGTTCCCACTTCAGTCTGAGTGGCCAGGGACCATTGTCCCGGACCGGGCCTGTCAGTACACATGCCCGCTCCACACCCCATGACGGCCTCAGTGCCGGGCATTACACCCGGGCCCCCTCAACCCCAGACGCATCCCTGACACTGTCGCCTCTTGGATGTCCTCTTCCTCCCAGGATGTGATGGTGTGGAGCTCAAGGTGTTTAGACATAAGGGTGGAGTATTGAGTAGTAGTCGTTGGGTAATGACTGGACTTAGTCAAATTGATGGAAAGGATTTGTTGATTTCACACATGGATTCAAAATTCGGAATTGGCCGAACATTTCCCACATGTACCAATTGGGCCTCCAGGGGTGTTGGCCCTAAGAAGGGGATACTGTCATGACCTGACATATCTGTCACTTCTGTCAATGTGTCCTAGTGCCACTTGGCCTGTCCTGCCTGCTATCATCATCTGTCCATCCATCTGTCCACCCGTCACCCTCATCTGCACTTCCTCCCCTGTGCATGTACCTTCCAACCTAGGTTGCCCGCTTCATTGTTGTCCGCCCACCGGCTGGACAGCTTGCTAGATGGCTGGATGGCCTTTTCTTTTTGTTCGCTTGCAGACTATTGTTCCTCCTTTTGTTTCTTGCTTGCCTTTTGTTGACCAAGTTTGCTGATATTAACTATTCGTCTCTTTCTTCATTCATTAATATCACGCTTGATCTGCCACTCCGTCCGGGCCGGTCCTATTTAGTTACTTGTGTTTATAATGCATGTAGGTTACACCGGATGTACCTCAGTTCATATATTGACTTGGATTCCCCCTATAGTCTCTTCTCCTCATCATAAGGCTTCTGTCTGAAATTGGGACACCAATGTAAGAACGAAGCGCAGCGCTCCACCTGAGTTGCTGAAGCTGAAGTCCCACCCCTCTGACCTTATGAGCCCAGATGACTTTGTACACCTTG